GCACAGCCCTCCACTGTCCCTCCAGGAAACCTCCCCAGTGGGAGCTGCTGCCACTGTCCCTCCAGCAAACCTCCCCAGGGTGCCCTCCCTGCAGCACGGGGCTGGTTGGTGACCTGAGCTCTGCCTTCTGCTGAATCCAAGAGCCCCGGGCTGATGTGCTGAGTGGAGGAAGTTTTCCCTCTGCATTCAGGGGTCCAGCTCTTCTCTGGTTTTTCAGCCCGTTCTTCCTCTGCCTTGGTCATGGGCACTTGGAGTTTTGCTCTTCACCAGAGCCCTTGCGCAATCTGGTCATTTCTCCATGCTTGCCTGATTGTCTCTCTGTGGTCTGGGCCACACCACAAATCCTCTTTGTGATCCCTCCTTCTGTATCTCAATTTGGACAGCATGACTCAGTGGTTATCTAATGTCTGCTGCTGGTTTCATGGTCAGAGTAACACTTTTCTTTGATCTCTCCCAAGAGCGATGTCAGTGAGAAGCAGACACCCCTAGGAGAGCACTCAGGTGCCTGACACTCATTTAAACACTGCTTTGGATGTCTCCACTGTCAGGATGAGCAGAGCTGGCAGTGCCCATGTGGCTCGCGGCTTTGACATCTGGGCCARCCTTTCTGCCCAATTTTACTATCAGCTGCCAGACTTTTGTGCCTTGTGGAGGTTTTTTTGCTTCTGCAAAGAAAACTCATGGCTAGTGATTACAAATTTCAGGGTGGGTGGCAGCAGTGGTCTGTGCCAGACTGAGTGCATTTCTCAGCTAATGCTGCTGGGGAAGGGCAGAGCCCTTTATTTATTTATAAATAAATACAGGTGTCACCTAGTTGCATCTGAGAATTAATGAGATTTTCCTGTCCACAGGAAAGTGCAGGAAAGTTTTCCTGAGGGGATGGACCAGCAAAGCTGCTCCTGTGCTGTCCCCAYCACACTGGCATGGCTCACACACGCTGCTGTGCTGACAGTGACCCACAGGAGCAGRGCAGAGCAAACCTCACAGCTTATGGACTTGTCCTCTTCCCTTTTGCTGTTTGGCTCTGCAGAGTGACTCCCTTGGCCCCAGAGACAAACCTTGTGCTCGGATGGGAGCCCTGGAAGCAGCCATGGCAGGGATGTCGGCTGGAGTTAAATTTGCCACTGCTCTGGTCAGCAGCTTTGCTCAGCTGCAGGATGGTTTCCTGGAGTGTCCAGAGCACAAGGGCAATGGGAAGCTGCAGCCTGCTCACCGATTCCTCGGACATTTCGTGGCTGCTCAGCTTTGTGCCTGTCACCTCTCCTGATTCTGTTCTCAGTTATTCCTGTCTCYATTCTTGCCCAAAGAGGGTAAGTGAGTCTCTGTTGGCAGTGTCATTTCTGTCTGAGAACTGTGACCATGAGGGCCGGCACCAGTTTAAAGGCAAGCAATGGTTCTTCTCACCTGCATTAATTAATACTTCTCCTACTGATCTATGTCTTCTGTGGTTTGTCTGTTTGACTGGGGATCTTTTCCTTGTTCTTCTTCCTTTCCAGATTTTCTTTTCTTTTTTTTTTCCAGAAGCATTCTTCAGATTAGGTAACTGTGCAGCATGTCTCTGCCATAATACAAAAGCTCTGTAATTGCAGAGGTTCAGATAGCCACTTTTGAGTAAGTTTTTGGTATTTTCAATTCCTTTGGGTGATGTAATAGAAAACATAGAAAATATGTGCTGAAATCAAATTTGCTACAAACATCCCTGGGGATAAACCAAATTTGCGGGTTGGTGGAGGTGCGTCTTTGTACGGAAAACTGCAAGTTCGGATTTCTTGATCTAAGGAATTTAATCTTATCTGTCGATACATACTGAGATGTATATTAATGCCCAGCATGTTCTTATGGGCGCTGGAATAACCCGGGTAAGTACAGTCCTTCGGCAACTCAAGATTCGTTAAATCTTTGAATTTCTCCCGGAAATATTTCTCCCTCAGTTTTCTCTCGCCGAGCTCAGTTGGCGGCCGCGCTCCCGACGCCGCCGAGCGCCGCTCGGTCCCCTCGTCCGGCTGTTGCCATCTGGTGGCCACGGAGCCGGGCGGCTTCCAGCCGGGAATGTGTGTCACCTTGCCTAACCAGGGCAGCCTGGGAACAGACACACGGCAAACTCACCGGTACCTGTCCAGCCATCTGCCTTATTCGGTGCTGCCACAATCTACCGTCACCAACAATGCCATTTTTATGATACAAGAATGCGGTTTAAAAGGTATATACTGCATTTGAAAACTAAAGCTAAAACTGCTGAACAGTACAATTATCCTTAAGATTTCATTCTTTTAATTTCCCTGATGTACTAACTAACCTTTCTGTGTTCTTTGTGTTAGTTTTGCTTCAGTTTCTCACCACTCCCCGCTCCCGCAGGCCCTGTTGTCTGCGTATCTGTTGGAGCCTCTGCCACCTTCTCTCTTCCATCGGGCTTTGCCTCTGCATGCAATTCTGTGACCAAAATTTCAGTAAAAATCTTGTCTTCCTCACTGTGTCAAAAGCATTAGGTATTGAGCTCGCTCGCAGCTCTGCAGTATCACCCTGCCAGAGAGTCTTACCTGCAGGAATGCTCATTCATGGCTGGTTTCCTCCAGGCCAGAGCCCTTGCAGTCCTGTTCCTCCTACATGGATGGAAGGAGCAGTGCCCTAAATTCAGCAAGCAGCGAGTTCTGCTGCTTTCCAATCCATCTGAACGAAGCTGGTCTGCTATTGGCATGGTGGGCAGTGGCCTTGTCTGAGGGATGGGCAGGCATAAAAACAAGCCAGAAAGGCTGGAGTCAAAATAGATGCAAAAAGGGATTTTTATGTGGGAACAAAACACTAGCAAAAAAAATTTCTGAATACTCTAAAGAAAAAAAGAAAAATACCCATCGTAGCAATGGATCAAATTCAGGCACTCAGTGTAGCTTAGCCCCTTGCTTTTCCACCTCGGTCACGATGGGTCACATTCCCCAGTTTAACAACAAGCAGTGTTCACTTCTCTGTCCATATTTAACTGCAGTGGCTCAGGTTGCCTTGGTTTTTTTGGGAGGGAAAAGGCTTTGTGCCTCTGCCAGGGAACATTTCTCGCAGCCAGGCTGCTGGTCCCCACAGGCCTTCTCCAAATACCTGCTTCCTCCTCTTCCAGCATGAGCTCTGACTTGCAGCCAGTGAGGGGGTTTGGGGTTCGGGCTCCCAGGCTGGGCTCAGTTGAATAGAAATAACTCTTGCTGGGGCTGCAGACTTTCTGGGGCCCCTTCAGAGCACGCACACTGCTGTCTCCAGCAGCCAGACCCTGCCGGGGGGACAGACACTGCTGTCACCCAAGAGCTGTCCCTGCAGCGTGTGTAACACTGCCTGGGGTGGGCAGGAATGCTTGGACACACTGAGAGGATCTGCAGGGCTGTGGGCAGCATTCCCGCAATTCCTCCACACAATTGTATCTCCGCTGTTGGCGGCAGCTGCCCGGCCTGGATAAAGCTGGAAGCAGCCAGGCGCGGGGTTGAAATCAGATCGCTGTGACAATGGGAGCTGCTGGCCACGAACAGGCCAGAAASGAGGCCAGGGTTACGTAGGTGGAGAGTTTTTACTGGAGGATAAATGTAAAGGCAGAGGCTGAATGCTTAGTGGAGGGGGGTGGGTGAAGGAGAGTGATTAAATAAAATAATTAAAATAATAATAAAGGCATCCAGCGTGAAACACCAAGCCAGCTGGCAGACAGCACAAAGGCTATCCAGCAGAAATAGAAAATACAGCTGGTGTCACCCAGAGGCAAAGCTAAGAAAGGTTTTCGTGGGGTATGTTTTCTGGAAAAGGGAGTTTGGATCACCGTGTAAGGATGGTTGTGGCAGCACACCCAGTGCTGTGTCCTGTCTCCTCATGGCAGCTTCCTGAGAAAAATACAAGAACACCATAAGCATTACCAATACATCCCCAGGACACTACCCCAGAGTGACTCTGGGACTTCTGGGACAGACTTCTTAGGGGGACAGAGTGTGTGTACCTTCAATAGTATGAAATTATTTAATAAACTTTTTTTTTTCTGAATGCAGAAAACCTCTGCAAACAGACACGCTTATGGTATCAAACCCCACTGCAAACACACGCTGTGAAGGAATGTCTTGGTTAAGCCTGACAACTCTAAGTTTACCTCAATGTCCTCTACTTTTTTTGCAAGGGGACAGCGAGTGAATCCAAATCTGCCTTCTCCAGATCATCTGGGATTTTACAGACCCTGCCAAAGCTCTCTCTCTTGTTTTTCTTTCAGACTGATGGCTTCGTATTTTCTATTTGTTCCAGATACAGAAGCCAGTTTGCCCTGTGGATGTTGTTGTCACTTTCTCCTGGGCCTTTTCCAAGTATTTTGAAACCAGATGACCTGAACTGCAAAGAACATTCCTGGATTTATAGTAGYACCTTCCCTTTTTGCTTCATCTCCTTTCCCAGAAACTGACAGACTTGCTTTTCTTACGCTGCTGAACACTTCACAGGATTATCTCTCTCAAGGTTTTGTTCCTGAGTGGTATGGTTAAGCTCAGAGTAGATAATCATGTATAAATGAGGTGTGTGTATATATATGTGTATTTCCCACCCCTCTGTGAAGCCAAGGGAGCAGCCTCCTCCCAGCGTGTGGTCTCTGTGCTGGTGAGGGGGTACCAGAAATAAATTACTGTGTTCT